CAGCTGCTTGTGTGACAGTCAGACAGTGAATACTTTAGAGCCGTGTGAGCTAACCCGGAGCTAACGGGAGAATACACTCCCGTTGAAGAGCAGCCGGCCAGCACTGCAGCGGTCGGTAAATGCCGCTGAAACACATTAATAAACAATGAACCACGGCACTCTGGAGAAAAGTATAAGGTTGGAGAAGTCGTTATTTAATTTAATCTGGCTTCGTATGATTAAAAGCAACGCAGTCCCCGGCCCGTTGTTGTTGTGAGGTGAGCTCCGGCGTTGGGGAGAAACTCAGCGACGTAAACTGTGACGTCATGACGCAGCAGCGGCAGCACCAGTCGGGCTCTGAGCGGTGTGAAAAGAGCCGGCGCTAAACCGAAGAACCGGTTCTGAACCAGAAAAGCTCTAGCACGGAGCTTGAACCGGAGTTGCGTTGGTGTGAAAGGGGCATAATGCCCCTTTCACACCTGAAACCTTTCACGCATAATGTAAACCTCTTAGCTTGTGGGAGCAGTGTGTCCTCTGCTGGTGACTTCTCATCTTTGCGACAGAGTTTCTGCTGAAAATGCAGTCCTTCTAACATGTAGCATTTCAACGGTCAAATTACTTAATACCAAAGGCTTCATTTATACTGCTGGGGACGCTGGAATTGGCAAACTTTTGGAAATTGCCAATTTTGTCCCCATCACTTTGCATTGGGATAATATGTTTAAAATGTTCTGAAAATAGCGTGCATAAAGAATTGTACACTTTGACAAAGGTTTATTTGCACAAGAGCACATGTACAATCTCGAGGACTGTTCACACTTTTTGGGAGTATTTCTGGTAACCCAAGTGGTGCGATTTGGACCTGCGACACGTTTAATATTAGTAATAATTGAATAGAGAATATTAAAGCAATTGTTGCTGCCGCTTGAAGCAGCGTAGCATAGTTACTGCACTAGTTGTCATAAAAAGTCATGTCTGCATATGTATGTATTGTTTGTGGGTGGCGCTTAATGTAGTTCTAACCTTTTCATGATCCAGTAAAGCGTGTATAAACCATCAAAACGTTTCTAAACCAGTAAAACGCTTTTAGAAACCAGTGGAACCTCAAACAAGGAAGTAAGGCCTAAAACCTTATTAAGAAACCTTTAAATCCTCTTATAAACCATTAAAAACTATTTTATAAACCCTGTTAATAACTTATAAACTAGTGAACCCTTGTCTAGAAACCTTTCAAAACATGTTTATTAAACCTGTAAATATCTTGTCAACAAGTAACACAATTTTTGTAAACCAGTAACCGCTCTTTCATGAACCAGTTTCAATATGTTAAGGGTTATGATCACAGAAGGAAACACATTTATATTCACACTGTATTGAAAAAAAAATCTTAAAACATATTGTATTTTCTTTGCAATCACAACCCCTTACTTATGTGCAATATATACCGTAAATAGCTGTGATATATATACTTGGAAGTATAGATTGGTTAATGAAAGAGTTGATGATGGTGTATACAAGGTTTTACTGGTTTATGGATTTTAATAGATTGAATTGCAGGGAGAAAAACTTTCAGAAAACCTGAAAAATCATTTTAAAACACACTAAACCCCTCTACTACCTGGTGAAGAAAGTCAACCTCCATTCAGATGGAAATCACTCTCTCTGTAGTGCCTGCTCCCTTTTGTGAGAGTATAATCAAGTGTCCCTTCTCAGATTCACACATTTACAACTCATTGTGCATGACTGCATAATGAAGCAAATGTTGTTTTCCTAGTATCATAGTCACCTTCATGGAAACATGCTTCCGGAGAGCTTTTTTTTATTTTTTTTAATCTCTGCTATTTATCTCTTTACTGCTAGAAAGAAAGCATGCTTCAAATTATTACGACATTAAAATAGTAAAAAGGATGACCTAAACATTTAATAAGATATTATGTTTTGTAGTAAAATGAAAAAGTGCCATACACAAAAATCACATAACATTTTTAAGCCTATAAGAAAATAAAAATGTAACCAACATCAATACAGGAAATGGGCATTGTCATGGAAACGTAACATGGAGCAGTGTCCACTGGGATTAGCAAATATGTTCTTAAAACACAAACTCCACATGGGAGAGGTGCCATGTTGTCTTTATGTTATAAGTGTAGTGAAATGATAACAGTGTATCAAGCATGTCCCCAACAACTTTGGTAGAAACACTTTTTTTAAGATTTAAAAAACCACTACTACATTAAAGGTGGGGTAGGTAAGTTTGAGAAACCGGCTCGAGATACACTTTTTGTTATATTCCATGGAATGCTCTTAACATCCCGATAGCAATGAATATCTTAAGTGCTTTGACAAAAAATCCATACAAAAAATTCATCTGTGGAAGCCGTAGTACTGTAAAAAGCACGACCAATCATTTTAGCCGGCCCGGCTAAAATAACTGGATGGCCTACCTGCCTGTCAGCCTTCCATCTGTGCACAAACTTATCTCGTGCCCTCATTGGTCATGTGCGCGTTCGTGTGTGTTGGAGGAGGGGCTCTGTAAGGAAGTGGCAGATTTTTTCCGGCTGTGTATTTTCAAATTCTAGCGATCTCGAGCTGGTTTCTCCAAAATTACCTACCCCACCTTTAAGCGCCACCCGCAAACAATACATACATACATATGCAGACATGACTTTTTATGACAACTAGTGCAGTAACTATGCTACGCTGCTGCTCTATTCAATTATTACTAATATTAAACGTGTCGCAGGTCCAAATCGCACCACTTGGGTTACCAGAAATACTCCCAAAAAGTGTGAACAGTCCTCGAGATTGTACATGTGCTCTTGTGCAAATAAACCTTTGTCAAAGTGTACAATTCTTTATGCACGCTATTTTCAGAACATTTTAAACATATTATCCCAATGCAAAGTGATGGGGACAAAATTGGCAATTTCCAAAAGTGGTGGAGATATGTCCCAGCGTCCCCAGTATAAATGAGGGCTCTGGTATTAAGTAATTTGACCGTTGAAATGCTACATGTAATAATACTACTTACCACCAAGTAGGGCTGCTCATACTACAAATGCATCATGCAGCTGAAAAGTCACTAGGATTGAAAGACATTGAAAAACATAAAAAGTAGGGTATTTTATTCGATTTTTCTAAAGACAAGGCCAAATGTTATTATGATAGCAACCTGCAAGAGGGGAAAGTAGACATAATGGTAGCAGAAACAGAAATCAGGCTATGTAGAGGGACACAAAATAACACACGGATCAAATGAAAATAGCCTATTATTTTGGTTGGTGTTGGTATTATACTAAGATTCCATTAACCAAACATTTGTATGAACAAAGATAAAATAGAAAGCAATTATGACATTGACAGTGAGAGTATTAAGTGTGAATGAAAGTCTGTACAGTTTTTCAGAGAGCATGTTTTGTTAAAGATACATCAGCAGAACTTCGCTGAATATAGGAACCTCAAATGCACAGTGCTCTTCTGTATCTGAAAACTGCCGCTTGCATCAGTTGTCAAAGGGACTGTTGTTGCTTGCTAAGGAAGGCCCGCCAAAGTGAGAGGAAGTGAATGGACTAGATTTACAGAGTTATGCAAACAGGCAACCTCACAAAACATGTGACAGTCACGACACATTTATTTTGTTACATTCTATTCATGATACCAGGCTAATGCAAACAGCATAAAAGCAATGTGATCCTGAAGTTTGGCTGTCAGTGTTAAGCCAGCTAACAGTTGATTTTAGAAACTCTGGCAACCTTTGAGTCAGGGTTGAGAGAGCTTCCTTGGCAACCATTTGTGGACTGATGGTTATCATGTGACAGCCAAGCACTGAAAAGAACCGAGAGAGGGACCTACAGGGAGAAAGAGAGAGATGAGAGGAGAAAGCGTGCACACACACACACACACACACACACACACACACACACACACACACACACACACACACACACACACACACACACACACACACACACACACACACACACACACACACACACACACACACACACACACACACACACACACACACACACACACACACACACACACACACTCTGCTGAGTCAGAGGAGGCTGATTCTGATGTAATCCAACAACCCCTCCCTTTTTCCAATTCCCCTGCCTCCAAGGCTGTTCCTGGATATTCAAGTAAGTACCTGGTTCCCCACAACATATAGCGACCTACCGGCGGTAACACAATTTACTGTGCATATTATCTAATTACAGATCAGTTGAGGACCAGCAGTTTGGTCACCCCCTTTTTGAAAACAATGATAATTCAGGCTTTAGTTAACAGAAATGGTGTGAGTGATACAATAAATCAGAGAATATAGGGAAAATGTGCATGATTGTTTTTATTTCATAGTTTCATATAATATATGATAATAGAAATAGATATAACAGAACATGATGAAAAAGTATTAATAAACACATTAAATCCCATTCAGTTATAAATCAATTAATATATGACAAATACCTTACATTTCCTCGTATTTCTGTGATCCTATCCCAACCAGAACCAACTACAACAATGATCATTCTGAAAAGCATCTTTCATTAACCCAACCAGAGACGTATGCGTTTATCTATCCGACTTCTTCCTGCTTTAATTTGAAAGCCAACACTCGTCAGTTCTTCTGCAGCTGGATCCCCTCCTTTCCAGGGAACACCCAATTGAATATCATATGAAAAAACGCGAAACTGCTCTTGGATCAGCCTCGTGTATTCAGTGCATCGTTGCCAATGGGTCTTCATGGCAGGGAGGGACGCATGCGCAATGCTTTGTGTTGCAACACAACTGAGCTCGACAGCAATCTTCATCAGGAGAAAACCGACGTTACTAACCCTTTTGAGACAAACTGAGAAACTACACATGATTCAGATTCAGGATTACTGCGACCACATACATGGATTACAATAGAGGAAGCTTTGAAAATACCACAATCAATGATACTAAAATATTTTTTGTCACGTGGCCATACTTGACCAATCGGAGGGAGCCAGATCCAGCGGAAAGTATGCTCTTTGTTCGGGTATTTTGCCAATTTTATCCCGAAATCTGAGCCTTATCATTTGTATAAATCACAGGATGTGTTTATGGAGGGTACGTTTTTATAGCAAAATGCACCATGTGGATAATTTTAATGCGTTCGTGTCGAAGTTTTGATTCCGTTCGCTCAGCCTTATTTCATCACATGACTCCCCTCCCCCACCCAGCGCAGGGATCGGTGAAGAAGGCGGACATGTTTGAGGGAAATGTGTTGGTTAAAAAGTATCGAGGTGGAAGACAAGAAGATTATTTGAAGAAAGTTTCGCATTATTTTGGGATCTACCAGTCGCTATTCATATATATTTTTTATTTAAGGTTTTTATGTCGTACTTTTGAAACAATCTCTTTTTGATAATGTGACTTATTTTAAACTGAATCTACTTTGATTTTACATTTTAGAACTGTAGAAATATTTAACGTTTCGAGAACATGGTGTTTCTTTTACTAGTTTATTTGAGTGACATTGTGGGGAATTTGTAACCTTGGTGTGGGGGATGGGGGCATGTGGTTAGGTAACCATTTTGTGTGGTTGTTGAAATGTCCAGATAGTGTCGGTCGCTTTTAAAGATCAAAAGTCTTAGTAACTTTTGCGTCTGTTTATGATTTTGATTTGATCTTGTTTTTTGGTTTACTTTGAAATACCAGCCATGGTATTAGCATTTTTAAACTGCAACATAGATTTTCGTTTTTAATTCCTAATGCTTTAACACATTTGTCAGTGGGATTGTCTTATTCGTTTGGTAAATGCAGCATTAGCATACTTTTATCAAATGAATGTGGTCTGAGGTCAATGAGAAAACTGCTGTGTCATTCAATGGATATTGGTAGTTCTTATGATCCTGTCTAGGTGTGGTGTTGTTATTAGTCGTTGAGGTAAACAGGGGCTATAGTTTCGTCGTTAAACATGCAGTCAGAAGTTTTAGGCTCTGGACTTGATCCTAGTAATGTGGTGGCGTTTTGTAAGCCATGGAGGCCTTGTCCTCTAAAATGTTGGCCTTTTTCTGCAACAGATGAACGCTGTTTATTATACTCGTGCTTTTAAGCAATATGTGTAGCATTTTGTACGTTTTCCTTCATGTTTTATCGTAGTTATTATAACGAATTATATTATATTACTATGTGTCACTGTACTTAAGATGGCGGGTGTGCAACTCTTGTTAAAGACAGAAATGCGGATATTCTGCTAAGCATAGAGTTCGTGGGAGAGGCTCTTATGGGGTTCGCGTGACCTGGCGCTTGAACCAATGGGCTTCTTGGTATTTACCCTAGAAGCCCGCGTTACAAACCCATTGACCAATCCCCGCTGTCGTTTTGCACACGTTGACGTAATGTAATATGAGAAGGAGGAGGGTGGTGTCGGTAGCTTCACATATTGTACAGGATTAAATTGAGGAGCCATTTATCAACAGCATTTCTGCATTACAGAATAGGCTGGGCCAATGGTATTGTTCTCTATCTTTGACGGACAGAAGAAACTTGCGAATAGGTTGGCCCTAAAGAGTGTCAGTGACGCGTCAGTATCTAGGGGTGTGGTGACTTTGACTGACGTGGTAGGCAACGAATAGCAATTCAGAGGGCGTGAGTAGGCTGACGTAGTCTATCCAATAGGGTGAACGGTTGGTCTATAAAATAACGGGTGTAGTCGCATTGTCGCCATTTCAACGAAGCTGATTAAAGGAGTTCGCCGTGGCGGGGAGCGGAGATAACTGACGAACAGAGACGGATCCAGGTCTGAGTCTAGCTAAAAACAGAATCCGGATCCATCCTGATGGATATGGCCGTTAACCCGCTCCTTGAAAGGTATCTACCGGTAAAATTGACTCTCAGCTTTCCACCAGAGGGAATATTATAAACATTTCTTATGATTTTATCTAAAAAAATGTCGTTGCTGTCAGCTTGTGTTTGCTGTAATAGGACCGGAAAAGGGAAATAGACAAACGAATATGCTACAGGAAGGGTCTAGCTGGTCTTGAAATGGATTAGAAGATGCATTAATGGCGAGGAAATTATAATTGTGTTTGGTTTGAAACAAGCTGCGACTGTTGTTCGCACTACGCCGGCGCCATCTTCTGAGCGCCTCAGCCGTTGGCCGCTCTCTCCCGCTGCCCTGCAGTGCTAAGATTGCTAGCATTAGCATTACAGACCAAAACCCATTTTCTGTAGAACAGTGCCTGAAACCCCGACCAACGTTTTTGTAGGTAGTGTTTGTAATCAAGCGTAATGTTCTAAACTTGTTCTAACATGACACGCTCTCAACACTGTTAACGTAACCTCTGGGACCGTAAAATGTTTTATACGAGCTGCTAACAGCACCATAGTGTTGACGAGCATAAGCTGTCTTACCCAAAACAATAAGAGTCAGAGTTGTGTGCTTACAACGATAACTTAGCGATTTTAACTAGTTTGTTATTGTAGCCATGTGACGGGCAGTGGTTGTTGTGATCAACGGTACGACGACACATTACTATGCAAGGGTTAACCACCCATGTGTGTTGGCTGTTTCAGTTGGTTGCCTGGTTACGTTTCTCAATGTCACTCAAAAATAGGTAGCAACTTTGATTATGAGGTTTTCGTTAGGTTTCACATTATTATAACATAACTCCACTGTACTTGAATCTCATTTTTTTTTTATTTCCTTGGACATATACCCTATTTTATTTAATAACTAACTTTGTTAACTACATTTCAGCTAACGTGAAATATGTTTTTTTTTAGTGTTGTTATTGTTATGTACATGGTCACTTTCCATTTTAAAATAATAAAGTACACTAACTGTCAAATGTGTTTCCCAAAGTTGTATTATTCAAAAAAGACTGTCAACAAACTGCCAACAAAATTGAAAGAGTGTAGATAAATTAACGCTTTATTTGTAGTCTACAGCCATCTCTGCATATGTAATTCCCTTCTGTGATGACAAAGTTAACCTTTTACTGAGGAGCCCATATCTGTCTATAAACAGTGGTTTAGTGCAATGAGTAGATGTATGGAATACGGTGATACAGCATACACCTGCCCCGGTAGGTACTTTTTCTCACATGATACAATCTCAGGAATACTACCTGTTGCTTCAATACCAAAACCAGCAAGATCAACTTTATATAAATACTATTTAGTTGTTTAAGAGTGTTTTGCATTTAAAGTTTTGTTAGGCTAAAGGTTTATACGAGTTCATGCTGTTGACATCGGGGGAGTGAAAGTTTCCCTGACATCTAAACATAACTACCAGGGGAGGTAGCCAGGTATACTGTTGAGTTTTTGAGCATTTCCTCGTAGAACTACAGCGACTCTGAAGAACTGGGATGAGGCCTTTTACTCTACTTGCAAGTGCATGTCATACACCTTGTATCAATACAAAGCGGCTTTAGAAATTGTCAGTCTTCCCATAGTAGTAACACAGGTCTTAATACTTGCTACAGCACAATATTCACATGATTTAAAATAAAAATCTGTTAAATATATATTTCCCCTCCATAATATCAGAGCATTCTAATGCTTTCCTTATGGAAACAACCTTTATAACAACTACCCTTTTGCAGTGGCTAGCAATATCCCAGTACGGCATACAACACAGCAAGATGTTAACTCATCGTGACAAAATGGCTTGTAAAACCTTGCGATGGATAATACATTTTTGTATTATCGATCATAACACATCATTGGCATTTCCTGTTCCACATGTCAACAGGGAGGAGTTACTGCCGCTTTTATTGATAGACAAAGCGGAAGGAGTGGTAGTCAGGCTGTACATTTCCTTATTACTGTATTTTGTGAGTGTTTTAGGCAAAGAAAGATTAGTCAAGTTTGAAACAACTCACAATATGCCAGCAAGACAACATTTTGACATGCACGTTAATTCATTGTGTTATCCACAGTATTTATGGGAATAAATATACGGCATATATGTTTCTGCTAATACTGGGAAATTAGAACCTGGATATTAAGTTTTACTATTAATGAATTTGTTAAGGTGAACATCAAACAGTTCAGCATTGGAGACATACCAGTCCTGTAGCACACCTTCCAGGTAGTTAATTGGTTTTTTCAACTGCTCTCTACAGCTCCCATGTCGGGGTTGAGGTTGGCATAATGGGAGTCACAACGATGGACCAGAGTTCTGGCACAGCGGGAAAACGCATCAGAAAACCTTCCCTTCTGTATGAGGGCTTTGAGAGTCCTGGGATGCCCCCGCTCAGTCATTTGATGTCTTCAGGACCCCCACAGCCCATGGTGAAAGACCCACACCGGCAGGGGAGGATGACTAACCAACTTCAGTTCCTACAGAAAGTCCTGATCAAGTCTTTGTGGAGGCACCACTTTGCATGGCCCTTCCATGAACCCGTAGATGCGGCCAAGCTCAGCCTGCCTGTGAGTGTGCTTACTAGTAATTACAAGACTTGCATTCTGTTAAGAGGAGGGATGGTTATTTCTATAAAACAGCATTTTTCACAGCATTTCCTAAATATTAACATTTGAAAGGTTTGTTTCACCATCACTAATATACAATTGACTATCTTACCATGTGAAATCTACTGTGTCGGATTTTATTTAATGTTAATTATTTAATTTATTTAACACTAAAGAAGTTTCTGATCTTGAAAGTGTCTTTTTGACCCCTTTCAGGACTATCATAAGATCATCAAAACTCCTATGGACATGGGCACTATAAAGAAGAGACTAGAAAATTACTTCTACCGCAGTGCCAGTGAGTGCATGCAGGACTTCAACACCATGTTTACCAATTGCTACATTTATAACAAGGTAAGACTTTGTTTGAGCCTGGGGCACTAACAAGATTATGTTTCATGCCAGCTGCTATTGTTTGCTCTTACATGTGGCCGACGTTGAAAGTGAAGATGCAAAACTCAGTATATTGAATTTTTTATATGTAATAGCATGTATATCTTTGTACTGTCAGAATCATTATACCCCCCTCTTTAGCCTACAGATGACATAGTACTGATGGCTCAGTCTCTGGAGAAGGCCTTCCTTCAGAAAGTCGCTCAGATGCCCCAGGAAGAACTAGAGCTAGCTTCTCCCACAGGGCGGATCAAACCAGGAAAACCTGGCCGAAAAGGCAGAGGTAATGCAAGCAGGCAATCAAACCAGGCATCTCAAGTCTGCCATACTCACACATACAGTTTAGCCAATTATTAAAAAAAATAAAGACATGTATAAACAACTTTAATTGAATCTTTTTTGCAATCTCACTCCTTCCTGTTCTCTTATCCTCGCCCTCTCTCTTGCAGTCTCCGGAGGAGTGACTACAGCTCATCAGGTCCCGGCTGTTTCCCAGTCAGCATACTCACCGCCCACTCCGGAAACACCTGACTCCATCCTCTCCACCCCCCCACAGACACACATGACCAAAAGTCTGCCCCCTATTCTTACAACTGAACAAAGCATCCCCACCATTACTGGTCTTCCTCCAACACAGCCAACCACTAAGGTAACGATAGTAAATTAATCGATAATTATTAATGGAGACCATACACAAAACGTGTTTCCCCGACTCACCCATACATCTTATTTTTCCTCACAGAAAAAAGGTGTGAAGAGGAAAGCAGACACAACCACCCCAACCCCCTGTAGCCATGCCCATCATGAGCACCATGGGTGTCAGTGGCATCAACATGGGGATGGGCGGTGGGCACAACTCCCCGCTCACCCTCACTTCACTTGGGGTAGATCATAACTCCAGCCTCGGGATGAACCAGGGCATGGGCATGAGTATGGGTATGGGCTGTGGAACTGTAATGATGGGTAGCAAATCAGCATCTGGGAGCAGGAGAGGAGTGAGTGGACGAGCCATCAAGCCCCCCAAGAAGGACTTGCCAGATTCCATGGTGCCACCACCAGTGCGCCGCAGCAAGCTGAATCCCCAGCTGCGATACTGCAATGGAGTCCTGAAGGATCTGCTGTCAAAGAAGCATGCAGCGTACGCCTGGCCGTTCTACAAACCTGTCGATGCCTCAATGCTTGGTCTCCACGACTACCACGACATCATTAAGCAGCCCATGGACCTCAGCACTATGAAGGTAGTCACCATAAACACACTTAATTATTAACATTTCAGAACAGAGAAGCACTTTTTCTTGGTCTAAGTTAAGGAAATCTGTTGTGGTATGGGGAAGATTAACTTGAACTGTTTTTGGCAAGTTTAGAATGTACCTATAAATCTCCTTCTCTCTCATTGTGTGTAGCGGAAGATGGACAGCAGAGAGTATCGTGACTCCCAGCAGTTCTCTGCTGATGTTAGACTGATGTTCTCCAACTGCTACAAGTACAACCCTCCTGATCATGATGTTGTGGGCATGGCCAGAAAGCTGCAGGTAATGCACTTATTTCAGTGATACTATTTTTTATACTCCTTTTAACACATAATTCAATTTTTACTGCTTGTGTTTTCTCATTCCCTCAAATCATCACTGTTCTTGTTTTTTTATTATTGATCCTCACCATCTGTTTAATCCTTTTAGGATGTCTTTGAGTTCTGCTTTGCTAAGATGCCAGACGAGCCACCAGCACCCCCTAGCTCCTCATCTTCCTCCTCCTCCTCTTCATCCTCATCTGAGAGCGAGGTCAGCAGTGAAAGTGAGAGCGAGAGCAGCCCCAGCTCTGACTCTGAGGAGGAGAGGGCAAACCGGCTGGCAGAGCTGCAGGAACAGGTTTGTACTCCAGTGTTTGCACACGCGTGACACACACAACATATTCAATCATTTTCATATGCCTTTTCATCAGTAATCATAACATATCTGTCTTTCTTTCTCTCTTCAGCTAAAAGCCGTACACGAGCAGCTCACTGCACTCTCACAGGGCCCCATCGTCAAACCCAAAAAAAAGAAAGATAAGAAGGACAAGAAAAAGAAGAAAAAGGTAGAAAAGGAAAAGCATCGGAAGATAGAGGAAGAGGTGACACCCATTAGACCGCCCAAGACCCCTAAGATCACCAAGACCCCAAAATCCAAGAGCAACAGAGGAACATCAGGTCCTGTAGCATCAGGCAAGAAGGCAGCAAGCAAGAAAAACAACAAGCGCAAGTGAGTACTGACCCCTGCTGGACGATGGTGGAATCATATGTGTGGCATGATGCTGCATCTGTTGCGTCTAGAATATGCCCCAGACATCTGAAAAGAAGCCCCAAAGGGATGAATAAGACCGATTGCTACTTGATGTATATTTTTTATATACAGTGTCATTGTAGTTGCAAGTAAAATATGTAAATCTGCTTGCTAGTGATCACGTTTTAATTTGAAGGTATATATTGTAATAAGCCTAGAGTCACCTTTTAACATGCTCTCCCTCCATTTCCTTTTCCTGTCTCATCAGAACCAAAAAGGGCGGCATGACCTTTAGCGTGCCTCAGCCGGTCCACGAGCCCATAGTGAGCCAATACGACTCAGACGAGGAGGAGGAGACGGCCCCCATGTCTTATGATGAGAAGCGCCAACTCAGCCTCGACATCAACAAACTGCCGGGAGAGAAGCTGGGCCGCGTCGTTTACATCATCCAGTCGCGCGAGCCCTCGCTCCGAGACACCAACCCCGAGGAGATCGAGATTGACTTTGAGACGCTGAAGCCGTCAACGCTGCGGGAGCTGGAGAGATACGTCATGACGTGTCTGAGGAAAAAACCCAGAAAGCCATATGGTTAGTAGAAGCCCAAAATAATGCATATTTGTTAACCTGTTAAGCCCCAAGCCTGTTTTTCAGGCCTCAGGCTCGAAAATGACATGCCCAGAACAAATGACTATAACTTCACTTTTAAAAGGGGTAAATTAATCATCTTTTTTCTCAAAGTAATGATAAACCTGTGAGTTGGATGTAGAAAATTCAGAATCGATATAGAATTTGTTTATTTTAAAGTAAATTCAGATTGAACATAGTTAAAAAAATATATAAATTATTGTGTCCGTCCAAAAAACAAACATTACTTATAGTGAAAACCACCCTTGAATGATGGTAAGGTAGACTAAAAGCTTTAGGAATCCAAACTATAACATATAATAAGTACCCTGTATCAAGACTGATGCAAAACAAGTGACATTTGACCTTTTTAGAGAGGTTTAGCAAAAAACACCTGGGATCATTTGGGTGCATTTGTCATTTCTCTGGAACCCATTGGTCGATTTTGGTGATTGACACCTCGTTTTAACAGTTAGAGCCAATAGAAACGAGGGGAAGTTCCATATACACACACGTTACCATTGAGGAGTGAGAGTGACGCGCACGCAGTCGAAAGCTATGTTACGCTCTGAAAACTGAAACCTAGGCTCAAACTAGTAAATATGAAGATGGATTATCAGTAATCATTTCAAAGTGACACAGACACATTGGATTAACCTTCAGCAGCGTTTTTATCGTTTTGATGCCATTGAACACAACTTTTGATCAGAACAACAGCAAAGGTAAGACTATTAAGGTGTTTGCTCCGTAAAGCTACGTTGTGTGATGTCTGGGTTTGTATCCCATGCTGCGAGTTCTGGTCGCTCAGTGATGATACTTATATTTCTGGAATCTGTGGAATCTCAGCTTGCTCGCTGATGTCTTGTTTATGCAGATCCGATAAGTGGTGGAGTGTTTCTACCGTGAGTTCTGTGTTAAGTGCGTTAGCCTTTTTTCGCTCAGGGCTAATTCAGAGGCTCGGCGTTAGACTTGTGTTTCGTTTGACTAAAAATGGTTCATATCGTCACTGAGTTTCTTCCCGTTAAGTGGATATGACACAATCATAGTTTGTTAAATGTTAAGAAGCCCTCAGATGCTGTTTCTTGCAAGATGCTGCGTTTTGGGGGCATGGGGCTTAACAGGCTAAACAACTGTTTTGATCACAATGTTCACAAGATCTTTGATACTTAATTTACTTGAAAAGAAGTATAAATATTTATCACTTTTTTAATCCGTAAACAAAAAATCAGAACATCAGGACAGAAATGGTATTCTGTGGAGGCTGTAGATCATTGATACTGTAGTAAAGCACTGTCATCTTATGGATATTGTCTCCTATTGGTTTCTTTGCAGCTAGTAAAAACAACGTTGCTGGCAAATCTCGGGAAGAGATCACTCTGGAGAAACAGATGGAGCTGGAGAGAAGGCTGATAGACGTTAGCGGTCAGCTGAACTCCGGAAAGAAGCCCGTTAAGACCAAACGTAAGTTTTCCTCACTGCGTTTTCATTTAATAGTATTTAGGAGCTACCGCTTTTCACAAAGAAAGTGGAATATGATACATATTTTTCTTCGAATGGCTGATGTTGGTAAATCAAACATAAAAATGCAAGTTAGGGCATCTGCCGATTCTTTTCTGGATTTGAAATTAGATGAAATTGTAGAACATTTATTTTGTCCAAAACCCAAAAATATTTGTTTATTTAATATTAAATCCTGACATCCATATTTGAGAGACTGAACAACATTCTCTACCATACCTCGACAGTTTAAAAACTAACAGATCAGCCAAAGAGTTGATGATTATTTTACCCATGATTAATCAGTCGACTTATAGTTGAAGTTCGGCTGCTATCCTGATTTTGTTATTGTGTTAAATTGCTGTTCCTGATATTTTAATGTCATGCTCTTTGTCTCAGGGTATTAAACTGTCTTCAGGAAGTCTTGAATCTCAACATTTGACATCTTTATCAGATAGTTGCAGCATTTCTCTTACGCATTAAAATATTTAACGTTTGAAATTATGTTGTCTGAACATATTTAATATTTTTTTCCAGCAGAGAAACCTGTAACGGAGCCGCACAACACCCAGCCAACACGTCTCAGCGCCAGCAGCTCCTCCTCAGACTCCTCCTCATCATCATCCTCCTCCTCATCCTCAGACACAAGCGACTCAGACTCTGGCTGAGAGGCCCTGTGTTTCCGTATGACAGGGTCATGTAAGGGACCCTGGGTAATTTGCTTCCCACTGAGAGGACTGAACTGCAGTAGAGCTACTGACGATGGAGCCGCAGGACGGATCAGACGAGACGGGCAGAACTGCTGCGCCTCAAAGTATCAAACCAAGAAAGAGGGAGATGGAGCTTACCCTGCGCTCATGCGTCCATCCCTGTCCCAGACACAGCACAGTTGGGAATGGATAGTAGGAGGAGATTGTAAAGTCGTGCCGTTCTCTGGAGAACTGGCCTTTTTCGGGCAGAGCGAGGGACGCACCATCTCCTGCAAAAAAAAATAAGGAGAATAGCGACGCATGCGTTGGAGGGATAAGGGTGCTAGAGCCAGAATTTGTCTTATTTCTGGAGATAATTTCCCTTCTTCTTGTGCTCCCTGTCTTTATGCTGTATAGATAAGATGTACAGTTATATAAATATCTATTTTTCTTTTGTAAAGAAGCATTTTATGGAGCTAATTTATTCCCTCATTCTGGGAAAGAAAAAGTAGTGCGGGTGTGTGTCTTAGCTTTTGTTTAGTTTTTTTTTTCTTGAGTGACAAAGAGGGTAGAGGGGAAACTCAATGAATGTGTGTGAGTGAGTGTATGAATGTGTCATCTATGAGTTTGCATGTGTGAGATCCTCATCATTTTGACGCAGGCGTTGAAAATCTGTCTGCACGCAGAAGCACCTTGGTTCAGTAAAATACAGAATGCATGCAATACAGAGGAGCTGGCAAACACCTGCATACTCGTGCACTCATGCACTTGTTTGAGATGGTCGGCCACTGTACAGAAATGTGACATAGTTTCATGACATGAGTTTAGACAAACGTATATCTGTTCCCATGTGTGCTGTCTTTTTTCCCCTCTATTTCTCTGTAAACATGTTGCTTTTTTTCTCCTTGTGACCAATCTGCGAATAAATTGTGAGGACGTGTCTTGTCCATTCACCCGTGCCCAAATAACATCCTGGTTCTTTTGATTTCTTCTGGTGTTCATGTTGAGTTTGAATACGTCAAAAAACATCTGACGAGATTTGAGGTTGTATGAAAACAGATTTGCTGGTTCTTACATAACATTGCATTTTGGTTAGGTTTCCCCATGGGTCATCACTTCTTCGCACCACGGTGTCATACAAACCAAACTGCTTATAACAATTTGGCCTTTAAGATCTATGGCAGCTTAAAGTTTAATTTCTGTGTTAACTGATTTTTGTTTTAGAGTAAGTTAACTTATTTGTGTGAATATAATTGTTTGGAAAGTTTTCACCAGCATCATTAGTGGAGGACAACGTTTTCTCCTCTTTGGCCTCTTCTTTTTCTTTTAAAGCAAAACCAGTGTGGATGATTAAAACAAGCAAGTGGCCGCAGACAGTTTAACAAGTGAACACAACATCTGGTTTATTGTGAGTAACAATGCACTGTTTGTTTGGTGGTTCTACTAAACAATGTTCTTTGGGTAAGGTGTGTGTCGTTAATGTTCTTTTAAAGTCGCCTACAGCGTAAAATTGGAGTTTTAGACGTTTTGAAAGTGATTCTTTAGCAAGAACTAGAATGGAGATTTCTTTTTCACAATACTGAAGGTAATCAGAGCTTTTAAATTGAGGTATACTCTACAAAATATGCACAGAGTAAATGTCAGGTTTTTAGAAGTGTACATACAATCTCAATCTTGAGCATGTTTTTGTTCTTCCTTCAGTAACTTTGTCCAGCTGTTTCTTTTTTTTTCTTTTGTAAAACAAATATTTTATTTTGGGCTTCTGTTGTAAAACAAAACACTCCAGTTGTCAATTCTAATTTCATGAAGTTTGTCCAAAACACCTCTGTACTTGACTCCATTTTAGAACTTCATCTGTACTCAAATAAACTGCTACATGTTCATCTTTACACTGACTGCGGGTATATTATTTATAAATTGCAGTTGCTCACAGTGGGCTTAGCTTAAAAAATACAGAAGCAGTGAAACGGATAGAAAATAGATTTTGATTATCAAGGTCCTATGAAGGTACTTGCCACATTTTGATTTGACCGCATTGAAGCTGTCGGAGGATTTAGTTCAAATAAGTTTCTTGAAAAGTGCAAAAGTAGCACATAAAATAAGAAATGGCTGACTTCCTGTTGGGTTTATGATTCCTGGCTGTCAGTTATCGGCCCCTTATATTAAACAATACCACATATTAGTAAAAACATCTAAATGCTAACACAAATAAAAAGCTGTTACTGAATGTAGGCTACAGTTTTTAATTTAAAGGGACAGAAGTGATGATTCAACCTGGTTCTTAGTGGCCAAATTCATCTTTTTTTAATTTGCCTATTAGAACATAAATGAAGATAAATAAACAACTTATTTCGTTTTTTAAGTAACTTCTTTTCTTTTATCAAATATTAGCTAGTGTCCTCAGACCTTCTGAATATTATAAGCTCAATCAATCGTCTGTATTCAGCCACACATAACTCATTTGAGTTGTTTAAATTGCTGATTCATCAGTAGCAAACCGAGCAAAAATATTCAAAACCCAACCAGGCTCAGTCTAGATTACATGACAAAGAAAAAGTTATGAGTTTCAGGCACAGTACTTGACTTTATATGACTAGAGCAGGGGTGTCAAACTAAATTTCATCGCGGGCCACATTAGCATCATGGTTGCACTCAAAGGGCCGGTTGTAACTATATAAATATACATATATAAATATATAATATATATATAAAATAATGTATTATATTACATTATTGCTTCTGAATTGGATTATTATCGGATAGGGTAATAACTAACTACGTTTGAAAGCAGAAGTCCAGGGCAAATAATTGCAAGTCTCTTCAGTGCGCATGTCACAAAACGAGATGCATTGTGGGACATGTAGTTTATGGGAAACCTGCTTCTGTAAAGTGGCATGTAACCGTATAATACACTTATTATATTCTTTGCAAGCTCTTGCGGGGCCACATAAAATGAAGTCGCAGGCCGGATTTGGCCCCCGGGCCTTGAGTTTGACACCCCTGGACTAGAGGGACTGTTGGTAAACTTCTCTCCTGTTTCTTGTTCCAGTGAAGAAAAGACAAGTTTCCAACGTCCCCCACCTTTATCCCGCTGAGATGCATCCCCTCTCTCTGCTGTGGGTGAGGTAAAACACCTCGTCCCTTCTCTTCTTCCTGCACGGGCTGTACCAATTGCCCCTAACTGCTGTCACACACCTGCATGAGAGGGGCAGATCACAGAGATGGGGTGGGGCTGAAAATTAGGCAGCGTTTCTTACCTATTGCCACATTAAAAGTTGGTGTTTGACATTTTTTATGACATTTGCTGGCATCACGTAAAGACATGAATGGATGTTGCATTGCATTTATTATGATACTGTGTGCATCTTCTGTATGTGTTTGAGTCTCTGCTGTCAGCACATCTCTCTGCACATACACTACCAGTCAAAAGTTTGGACGCCTTCAAATTCGAAGTTTTTTATTTATTTGTTTCTACTTTGTAGATTAATAATGAAGACATCAAAACTATGAAAGAACACATGGAATTATCTAGTTAACAACAAAGTGTTTAAAATCCAGAATATGATTTTTATTTTATATTCTTCGAAGTAGCCCCGTTTTGCCTTGATGACAGCTTTGCACATCTTGGCTTCACTCAGTCAGCTTCATCACGTGTGCCTTGTCAAGAGTCAATTTGTGGAATGACTTGCCTTCTGAATGTGTTTGAGAGCATCAGTTGTGCTGTGCAGAGGTAGGGTTAGTGCACAGCGGAAAGCCCTATTTGACTGCTGTTGTAATCCATATTATGGCAAGAACCACTCAACTCAGTGAAGAGAAACGACCGTCCATCATCACTTTAAGAAATGAAGGCCAGTCGATGCGGAAAATGTCAAGAACTTTGAATTTATCCTCAAGTGCAGTCGCAAAAACCATCGAACGCTATGATGAAACTGGCTCTCATGAGGACCCCCCGGGAAAGGAAGAGCAACAGTTACCTCTGCTGCAGAGGATAAATACATCAGAGTTACCAGCCTCAGGAACCGCAAATTAACCTGTTAAGCCCCAAAGCCCCCCTCGGCGGGTCTTTCTTTTTTTTCACAAATTAAAAAAAAAAAAAAAAGTTTTTTTTTAATTTTTTAATTTTTTATTAATTTTTTTAATTTTAATTTTTTTTCTTTGAATGGAATGAATACCTATGGTGATAATTCAATGTAATACATCATTTTTATAGTCTGGTACCTGAAAAAGGTGAAATGGCACTGATGGAACCAGATATACCCAAATGTGCCGAAAGCCTATTCCGCCTGGAACTTTTTTGTTGCTAAACCTCTCTAAAAAGGTCAAATTTAACTTGTTTTGCCTCAATCTTGACACAGGGTACTTATTATATGTTATAGTTTGGATTCCTAAAGCTTTTAGTCTACTAACCCATCATCCAAGGGTGGTTTTCACTATAAGTAATGGGTTTTTTGTAGGCGGAGGTAAGAATTTACCTTTTTTTTCTATGTTCCATCTGAATTTACTCTGACTGAGAAAAATCTATATTGATTCTGACACTTCTACATCCAACTCACAGATGTAACCTTGCTTTGATAAAAGAAATTATTCATATAACCCTTTTAGAAGTGAAGTTGTAGTCATTTGTTTTGGGCATGTCATTTTCGAGCCTGAAACCTGAAAAACAGGCTCGGGGCTTAACAGGCACCTCAGATTAGAGCCCACATAAATGATCACAGAGCTCAAGTAGCAGACAATCTCAGCATCCACTGTTCAGAGGAGGCTGCGTGAATCAGGCCTTCATGGTCCAATTGCTACAAAGATCCACTACTGAGGATGAACAACAAGAAGAAGAGAATTGTTTGGGCCAAGAAACACAAGGATTGGACATTAGACAGTGGAAATCTGTACTTTGGTCTGATGAGTCCATATTTGAGATTTTTGGTTCCAACCTCCGTGTCTTTGTGAGACGCAGAGAAGGTGAGCGGATGGTTTCTGCATGTGGTTCCCCCCGTGAAGCATGGAGGAGGAAGTGTGATGGTGTGGGGGGGGCTTTGCTGGTGACACTGTTGGAGATGTATTCAGAATTCAAGGCACACTTAACCAGCATGGCTACCACAGCATTATGCAGTAGCCAGCAAAATATAAATCATATTCTGGATTTTTTAACACTTTTTTGTTTACTAGATAATTCCATATGTGTTCTTTTATAGTTTTGATGTCTTCAGTATAAATCTACAATGTAGAAAACATAACAATAAATAAAAACTTCGAATTTAAAGGTGTGTCCAAACTTTTGACTGGTACTTTATATCAGCGTGCATCTTGTGCCACGTAGATATGATGGTGTACTGTACATACAGTATATATTAATACTGTGTACATTGTATATATTGTACAAAATAAGGTTTTGATGAAAGATTATAACACAATATATAATAAATATAATATATCTCTTTAGTTTGTCTTGTATTTGAACAGAATGTGTTGAACTTGTTTGTATTTTCATTAGTGCAAGTGCTCCCTTTGCATGAAATCCTCTTGCAGGATAATACTGTGGAAATCAGATGAGCAGTCAGAAGTTACTAAGCAACAGGATCAACTGTTGGCAGACAAAAGAGCTCAGTCAGAAACATCGAGTTCTCTCCTGTTCTGCAGAAAAAGACAGCCACTGGCGTTTGAGTGATAACTGCACTACTGCCAAATGTCGGCCTCATGCAACATGTGTTGACTTTGAAATTATGTTCATAAAAAACATTTAACCCATCACTGGTAAATCTATAGTTTTATATGCAACAAAATACATATGCATGTATATGATTGCATGGTGTATATTAGATCAATAAAAACCACGAAAGCTTGTTTCAGCTGTTTTAACTAAGCCTGGAATAATTGTGTTTGACCTTATGCTTTTGTCATCAGACTTCATCAGTCTTCTCATTTAGACAAACTAGTTGAAGAATTTGGTAATAAAGATACACTTTATTCATGAATGATTTCAAGTTGGATAAATGTATGTAAACGCTAGGTATTGTGTATGTATTGTATATATATATATTACTCATAGCACATTACTCCTGTTTCATCTGCACTACATTGGCTGCCAGTGTCTTTTAGAATTGATTTTAAAATTATTTTACTGGTTTTTAAAGCTCTTAATGGTTTGGCACCCACGTATCTCACAGAGTCACTCTCATTGTATGTCCCTGGACGAGCCCTGGGGTCCTCTTCAGCTTTTTAAATATCCCTAAAGTCCCCCAAAATAAAATGGGCGAGGCCGCTTTTATCCACTGCGCCCCCAAACTGTGGAACACCCTACCAGGACATATCAGAGGCCAGCTCAGTGGACATTTTGAAACGCCAGCTAAAGACACAGCTTTTTAGATTAGCTTTTTATTAGCAACCCCCCACTTTAAATGCAGTGGCGGAGCCAGGACATTTTCAGTGGGGTGGCCAGGATGGAACCAGTGATCATTTTGGGGTGGCATTGAAATCACTATTATATGAACATAAAAATACATCTCACTATAAAATAAGGGGTTATTTAAGGCACCTACAACACACCTCTACATTATTTGGGATTAAGCTAGTGGTGGAATAGATCAAATAATATCCAGTATATCTAACTATTTGTTTCTTATTCCCACAGGCAAAGTAACAACGAAGCTTACATTATACAAATGTAGTGCAATATACAGACTGTTTAGCTTATTGTGATCAGCAGCACTATGAGCTCATTCTCTCAGGAAAACAGAGACACACATAATTTAAATAAGAGTTTTTAAATTAAATTATTGGTTAAAAATAAACATCCTAAAGTAAATAACAATAAACAATAGCCCTTAACCCTGTAAGGCCCCCGGTGGTAATTTTACAACATTACTTTAAGCTATCCAAAAAAGTCAGTAAATGT